GAGTCAGAGAACTTTTATAGCCACAGGGAAGATTGTATTGAAAATAAGACTCAGGATCTAACGTTAGGGGGAGCAAAGCTGCAAAGGAAACTGAATGTATAGCCTCAGCGCTCCCTGATGCTAAAGTTCAGAACTCTGAGAAGCAACTAGTGCATTTAATATGTTGTCCTTTCAATCTACCCCAAAGTGACCAAATAAGTCACTTATTTATATATGTATCCTTGAAAACATGTAGCATAGTTGTGGTTTTTTAAAAACGGCAAAAATGACATTGTGTTACAAATCGCATTTTCTTTTTCACTCCATGTTAAGTTCTCAGGTCTGTATTGCCATATGTAAATTTAGTTCATTGCTTTTAACTTATGTGTAGTATACAGTTGACTCTTGAACAACACAGGTTTGAACTGTGTGGGTCTACCTATACACGGGTTTTTTTCAATAAATACAGTACAGTACCATAAATGTATTTTCCTTATGATTTCCTTAACATTTTTTTCTTTAGCTTACTTTACTGTAAGAATACAGTGTATAATACATGTAACATACAAAATGTGTTAATGGACTGTTGATGTTATCTGTAAGGTTTCCTGTCCACAGTAGGCTATGAGTAGTTAAGTTTTGAGGGAGTCAAAAGTTACGCACAGATTTTCAAATGTGCGGTGGGGGTCAGCACCCCTAACCCCTGCACCCTTCAAGGATCAACTGTGCATCCATTTTATTTACCCACTTCCCTAGTGATGAACATCTACATTATAATCTTTTCTTCCTATCACAAAATGTCAAAGAGTATCCTCACACATGTTGTCTTAATGGGGTTAAAAGAGACTTCCTGTGGGTTTCTGTTCCACTGTTCCCATGACCACCTTCTTCTTTCCCTTTAGCCCCGCTTGTCCTATCTGCCGAGAGTCCTTCTCTTCATCCTACTTAAAGATGACCCTCCTCAGTTATGCTTTTAGTCCCCAGTTTGTTTCCTTCATGGCATATATAAAAAGTTGAAGTATTTTGGGGCACCAGGGTGGCTCAGTTGGTTAAGCGCTCAACTCTTGGTTTTGGCTCAGGTCATGATCTCAGGGTCGTGAGATCGAGCCCTGCATCAGGCTCCACACCAGCAGGGAGTCTGCTTGAAGATTCTCTCTCCCTCTCCCTCTGCCCCTCCCCCTGCGCACACGCTCTCTCTCTAAAATAAATAAATCTTTTTAAAAAGTTGAAATATTTTATTCTATTTTCTTTCTCTCTCCCCCACTGGAATCTAAGCTCTATGAGGGCAGGTACTTTTTCTTGTGTCCCGTTGTATCCTCAGCACCTAGATCAGTGTGTAGCATAAGTACATGACACAGGAACTTGACAATTATACACTGAAAGAAAGGGTTAAGCCCAGAAGATTCGAAGACAAATATATATGACATATTTCCATACTTTTATGTAGGCATCTACAACGTTCACGAGAGATTTAGGATTTAGGTAAATGTATTTTCCCTGCAATGGTTTCACGGGATGGGTGACAGTTGAGACTATTGGTAAGTGGGGGTTGAGAAAGTAATTTATTAACCTGGCTCTAAAGCCCTTTCATTGGAAATTCACAAGAAAATTGGGAAGACCAGCCCATCCTATTCCCTCCAGAACCTCTGAATTAAATCCCTTCCAGCACCCTTTTACTCTCCTCCTCACATATACGTGGCAAGGTGCTTTGTGTATCAGGGAACTCTTCTAGCACTGTCTGGTGGGACTGAATCCTGCTTAATAATCCTGTGCTGTGTGAATCCCCTCACAACTAGTGTCAGGAAACACGGAACGGGGGATGTTATCCATCTTCAGCAGTGTGGGATGCATGGAGTCCTTTGTGACTTGCCGTTGAACAATGAATGAGGCATGCTGAGGCCTTTGATGACCTGGACGTGCTGGAGATAATCTGACCCATTGTTTCATCATGAGCAGCCCTTGGTGATATATCACCGTGGAGAGCGGTTGGGTTTTTTTTAAAGACAAACTCCTTTGGTGTTGATGAAAGATGGATTCGGCATATTTTCCATAATAACTAAGGAAAGTGAGTTGTTATGTACTTTGTTCTATGAGTTGAAGCACTTAGAATAGTTAAATGCAAGTACTTTGGAGCAAGCAAGGCCTAAGGCTGAATCTTGGTTCTGGTACTTATTAACTGTGACCTAGAGCAAATAACCAAAGAGTGATCACTTCATAGGGTTGTTTAGATTATTAAATGAGGCGACCATGGATATACAGTGGTTAGCCCATAATGGATATTTAACTGATAGCTAAACACAAATGAAAAATCTAATTGAATACAGATTGGTAATTATCAGTACTAGGCAACTTAAAACAGAGGTTATAATTATCAGTAATAGGCAACTTAAAACAGAGGTTATAACTCTGTAAAGGATTGTTTATGCCTTTGTAAAGGTTTCTCTAGAGAGGCGATAAGCTTTTGTTAAAATTAATTTACTTGACAATTTAGACTTTTTCTCTACAACTCTGCTCTCATATCTGTGCTAGACTATACAAGAATATTCCTCTGCTTGCTCTTCAAAACTAAGATTTTCTTTTTTTTTAAGATTTTATTTATTTATTTATTTTTGCGAGAGAGAGAGAGAGAGAGAGAGAGAGCGCGCGCGCGCATGAGTGTGGGGGCAGAAGGGCAGAGGGAGACGCAGACTCCTCACTGATCAGGGAGCCCGATGTGGGACTCCGTCCCAGGACCCTGGGATTATGACCTGAGCTAAAGGCAGATGCTTAACCTACTGAGCCACCCAGCAACCCCACACTTAAGATTAAATACTCAAAATGACATTTAAACAAGATAGCAGCAACTACAAAGCAGACTCTGCTATTCGGGAACACTTTTCTGGGATGTCTATAGATGCCTCTGGGGGCCTTTCCGTTTGGCTGCCTTTTTTTTTTTTAAGATTTTATTTGAGAGAGCGAGAGCACACAATCAGGGGGAGCGTGGAGCCCTATGAGGGGTTGGATCCCACTACCCTGAGATCATGACCTGAGCAGAAATCAAGAGTCAGATGCCCAACTGACCAAGCCACCCAGTTACTCCTTCACTGGGCTGCCTTGTAATGTTGTATTGCTGTTTGAGCAGAACTGTGCACGGTCTTGACCACATTCTCTCATATCCTCTTGAGACAAACGTTTCTCAGCAAAAAGAAAAAAAAAGCAAGTTTTCTTCGGTGCCAGCTTCAGTTTATGCCTGTACATACACAATAAGCTGAGCCCCACTTTACCTTGCAGATGGCCCAGTCCACCCAGTTCGGCACTCTATCTGATAGATGTCCCTGATCCAGCATGGGTAATCAGTCGTAGAACCAGTAAATTTCATGTTTTGGGCAAAATTGGTTGGTGTATCTTGGTGGCCCCAGGCATAACAGTATGCTGTGGGTGCCTGTTTCAGGACCTCATCTCTAACTGGTGCGTAGTCAAGAGCAGGGTAACGGCTGGGAACAGATCTAGTCTGGGACAGCATCTTAGAGATGGACCTGGAAGGATGGGCAAGATTTAGAGTTGTAGATACAGAAATGTTGGCGACTCCAGACAACAATAATATTGTCTGTTTCATTCTATAGCATAAAGAATTTTCAGTTCCAATTTTCCAGTTATCTTTCCAACTCCATTTCTTCGCTTCTTGAAGGGTGGCATGATCTCCGTGAGGATTTACGTATCTTCAACTTCACTTTTTGAAGTCCTATGGTACAATCTCTATGACAATTCAATTTATCCTAAGTAGGGGGCACAAGTGTCTAAGGATATCAGATCACTAAATTACAGGGTCTTCCTTTCACCTAACAATATACAAGAGTTCAGGTGCTATTGAGTTTATGTCCATAACCATCCAACCCTGTCCTCCCAAATTTGATTTCTGGCTTTCCCTTTTATTCAGTGAGTCCTTGTCAGAATACAGAATCCTCTTGACCCCTTCAGAACTAAGGATACCTGACCCCTTCCCTGCATTTGGGACTGCCAGCTTTTCCTTCATTTAAGCCCTTCTCCCACCAGCTTTCTCTGACACCGTACTCTTGGTTCTCCTCTCCTTCTGATGGTTCCTTCTCGGGCTCCTTCCCTCCGTCCCTTAAAAGCGTTTCCTAGGGCTCAGACTGGTTCTCTTTTCTCTACACACTCACAGTGGAGAACGGTCTAGGGACTCTTAGAACTGCAAAATACTTTGAGATAAGCAAGCCCCTTAACAGATGCTCACTAGCTCTCAGATGTTACTCTGCCTCGGTTAAACGAAACCCACCCAGCAAGGACACAAAAATGGGAGCTTTGTTAGGGAAATTTTCCAGCTACCACCTGCCCAGGAAGCAGGCACCTTAACAGGAAGAACCCTGTGAGGAGTCTCAGCTGAAACTTGCTCCTTTTGTTTGTTGTGTTCTTCCGACGAGGAGCACAGGCCTCAAAAAGAGAAGCAACCCTGAGCTTGTTTTCTGAGACATCCTCTTTATTTATGCCCTTCCATTTTAGACTGCAAGCTCCCAGGCGAGCTGGACGACTCTTACCCTGATCACTGAACTGCCCGCAGCACCCGCCCCGGGCCGGGCACAGGGCAGGTTTGGGGGCTTAGCTGCGGCTTGTTGGCACTCTCTAGCGCTGACGTCCCGGAGAGGACCGAGGGACGGCAGCCCAAGGGCCACAGTGTGGTCCAGCTGAGCGGGAGAGCAGGAAACGGGGCCACGGGTGGCTCTGCCGAGGGGCGCCGTACCCAGCTCCACCTGAAGGAGCAGACACGTGCCACACGGTCCGGACAGAGCCCAGGCATTTCCTGCGGATTTCATCCAGACCCCGCCCCCACGAAAACAACCTTAAGGGTCCGGTCCCCCACCCCGCCCCCAGGCCTCCGGGCGGGGCCTGCCTGGGCCGCGCAGCCGCAGTGTGGAGGGCCGGCCCGGCCCGGGTCTTCACAGAAGCCCCGCCCCTTACGCGCAGTGACGGGAGCGCGCGAGCCTCTGTCACGCAGGCGCGCTCGCGCGGCGTAGGTGGCGCTAGAGGCCGTCCCGGGGGTTGTCAGGAGACGGCGCTGCCGCCATTTTGTGGGGTGTTTGTCGCAGCGGCTGGAGAGGGAAGACGGCGGTTTGGCGACGTTTCCCGGCCAGAGGGCCTTTTGCTTTTGCGGAGGTGAGGTTTTGGGTGGACTGGGCTGGGCCGTTTCCGGTCTCTTAAGTCTTGAAGCCAGGTGTCGGAGAAATGACCCAGTTCGGGGCCTTGGCGATCGGGGTTTCTTCGGAGCACAGCCCCGCTGGTGGCCTTTGAACCTCGAGTTGCTCAGGTGCCCTGGTAGATTTGAAGTCCCGGGGCGGCGGGGCCGCGGTTCTCCCTGGCGCTCGCGTCGGGGCTCCGGGAGCCCTGGCGCCTGCCGCCGGCGAGAGCGAGGACGTGTCGGGAAGACCCTTCGAGAGCTGCCCTGGGGGCTGGTGTAGTCGGAGGTCAAGTTCTCCCCCCAGTGCCTGGTCTCTGCCCCGTGGTAGCGTTCCGGGGTTTTCCAGTCAAAACCTCTGGACCTGGCTGCGAGGGCGCCGAAGGCCCTGGCCAGGTGCCCGGGGCGGGGCGGAGGGGGTGGGGACCGAGTGCGCGTCGGAGGAACTGCGAGTCCGCCGGTCCGGGTGGTGGACCGAGCCCGTGCTCGGGAGAGGGGGAACCGTGGAGGGCTTCGAGCCTGGTGCAGCGCCCTTCTCGCCCCCTGCAGCGGAGCGCACGACTGCCGCGCTGATCTGCATTCCCGATGCTTGGGCATCAGGCTGGCCTTGGTTACCAGGTGGCCTTGCACGCTGACCCGCCCCGCTCGGTCTTGTTTTGTAGCTGTCCCGCTGTGATTGTGCTCCGGACACACGCTCCTCCAGGCTCCCGTTACCCATTAGGTGCAGTCCTTCTGGGCCATCTAATCATACCTTCAGCCTCTTCCGATGTTTTCTAAAGTCATGTCCACAGGGGCGCCTGGGTGGCTCAGTCGTTAAGCGTCTGCCTTCGGCTCGGGTCGTGATCCCGGGGTCCTGGGATCGAGCCCCGCATCGGGCTCCCTGCTTAGCGGGAAGCCTGCTTCTCCCTCTCCCACTCCCCCTGCTTGTGTCCCCTCTCTCGCTGTGTCTGTCTCTGTCAAATAAATAAATAAAATCTAAAAAAATAAAAAAGTCATGTCCACAGCATGAAATTGGGTATGAAAGGGCAGTAAGAGAATCAGATTTCTAAGGCGGATCCGTTGTGTCCGATGTTTTCAGTGAAAGATATGCGGGGATTCTCACATGTAAGACTGTTTCTTGATTGAAGGTAGTGTAATAATTCTAAGTGGTTTTTTCTTTTGTGTGGATGTGAAGGACCTTTAACATGCAGGTCTGGGATTCTCTCTGCCTCCTGAGACAGTATTTCTGAACATTAGTAGGGGGAAGAGTTCACGACAGCTGAATTAAATTCAAAGTGAACCTAACTAGAGAAATGAAAAAAATCTTTGGCCTTCCCAGGGTGCTCATTCTTATTTTAATGTTTTGAGTATTGATAATTTTGGTGATCTGAGTATTCTGCCTTGTTAGAGGTGAGCTGGTTTTGGCAGACTGACAGAAGGGGCAAAAACAAACAAACAAAAAACACCCCACAAAGCTAAAGCAGATAGTTTTGCAAAAACTGCATTCATAATGGATAATCATGATGATAATCCTCAGTCATCAGGTGTTGTAATTTTGCTGGCTGTGATTTAAGAATGCTTAACCAAGCTATTTTAAAGAGTTACTACTGTGGTTAAAAGACAGGTGGGGTGATTAAAGGAAGGTTTGGAAGAATTCCACTAGAAATACAAATTTCTTTAGATGGCTTTTCTGTTGGCCTTGCCTCAAGTTAATTTGTAGTGTCATTCATGTCAGTTTCCCATTTTGAGGTGACTCTGTATCAAACTGGAATGCTCACTTAAATCATTCCCAATGAGAATCCTAACACATTTTAGAATTTTTGATTTACCTGACCAATGCCTTCTCTTCTCTTTTTAAGCAAAAGGCATGATACAAATATTTTCTTAGGGAATACCTCCCAGGAGAATTGCAGCTGCCTCATTTCAAGTCTTTTAATGCATTTGAAATCATTTATTTAAATTTTTACTTGAATTTGTTTGTTAGAAAGTCATTTGGGCAAGCTAAAGGCAGTAAACTAAGCTGAATTTGCTCCATTTTACCTTTTTTTCAGCTCTTGAGTTGCAAAACTCGCCCTTTGAGCAGTTTGGATATCACTGTTAAAAACTTAACTGCTTTGTAAAAGAAGTAAGATGGGGAGCAGCAGATAGTGATTACATTGTTAGAGCACCTATCCTGAGCCTGGAAGGAACCTTTGCATTAGAAGTTGTAGAGGGAAGCAGGAAATCAGGGAATGGTCATTACCCTCATCTGATTTCACTGACCATGTGCATCCTTGTAGGTTGGTTTCTTCAGTCACCCCAGATCTACAACAATTATGTTTTCATTTTAAGACTAATTGCAAGATGATCTGAAAATAAACTTGTTGAATAGAGAAAATGAGTTTATTAAAAAAAAATCTTTGTTTTGCTTTTCAGTTTCTCTGTTTGAATACTGTGTTTTACTCATGTCCTACTTTTTTCCCCAAAGCTTGGAGTCATTCTGAGATTAGAAAAGGGAACTCTCTTTAGTGTTTTGTTTTTTTTTTTTTAAAGAAGCTTCTTTACCTTTAAAACATCATCCCCTGTATTTAGTGTCCCTAAGTGTTTCTCTGATTTCAGTTGTCTGTATTACAGAATTTTGCCAAAGCTGTATGACACTTAGGGTATTTCTTTAAAATAGTTCATAAGGCCCCTGGGTGGCTCAGTTGGTTAAGTGACTGCCTTCAGCTCAGGTCATGATCCCAGGGTCCTGGGATGGAATCCTGCATCGGGCTCCCCGCCCCTTGCTCTGTGGGGAGCCTGCTTCTCCCTCTCCCTCTCCCTCTGCCTGCCGGTCCCCCTGCCTGTGCTCTCTCTCTGTCAGATAAATAACAAAAATCTTAAAAAAAATAAAAATAAAATAGTCCATAAAAGTTAATGTTTTGTTTTAAAGAAATCATATTAATAACTTAATCAGGAGATCATTTACTATAAAAGGAAGGTAAGGGACACCTGGCTGGCTCAGTTGGTGGAGCATGTGACTCCTGATCTTGGGGTTGTGAGTTTAAGCCCTGCGTTGGGTATGGGGATTACTTAAAAATAAAATCTTAAAAGTAATAAAAATGAATTAAAACCACTCAAATTATTAATTTTTAGCTGGATATTGTCTACTGGAGGTTCTAAGTCTAAATCCTAGCTGTTTGACTATGTTTACAATGGCAGTTAGCAAGGGTTAGTTGAAGATAAACACCAAACTTGAGCATTTCTTTAGAAGAAGTGAAAGAAAGTGTATTATTAAGGTCTCACAGTGTTTTGCATCATTTGGTACTAGATCTGTATGCCATTTACAGTCATCTGACATACCATGGAATGGTGCCCCATGCCTTGGGAAATACCACCTACAAAGATGTTAGAACCCATAGGAGCCCATGTGCTGAGTGTTTATATTTAAATGCTGTGTAATATTTTATTTACTAAACATAGCCATCTATCGTCTCCACAGCTCACTATTCCTTTCCATTAACAGATGCGGCATTCCAAAAGAACCCACTGCCCTGATTGGGATAGCAGAGAAAGCTGGGGCCATGAAAGCTACAGTGGAAGTCACAAACGGAAGAGGAGGTCCCACAGTAGTACGCAAGAGAACAGACACTGTAAAGCACATCACCAGTTTAAAGAATCTGATTGGTAAATTACTTTTGAATTAGTCACATTTTAACACTAGGCGTTTTAATGATTTCTCATTAGCTTATGTAGCTTTATTCTGTCACATTGTTTTATAATTCAGTCAGGAGATACTCAGAAAACGTTTGTTGGATTCCTGTTATAGGCTAAATACTGTACAGGTGCTGAGACTACAGCTGTGACTAAAACAGTTCACACTCTTGTTGATGTCTGGCTGGGCCTGGTGGGAGACAGTTGAGTCCCAGCCGCCAGCAGTGTACTCAGGGCGGTGAGACACAAAGAGTTTAGTCAGAGTGGTGACAGGATGTCCAGTGAGTGCCTTTAACTTGTATGTAGGAGGAGATGTGTATTTTGGGGTGCTCATTTAGGGTTCCACGAATGAGAGATGATGAGGGGGTAGGGAGAGTTAGTCCAGATGAGAAACCAGCATGTGCTACTTGGGAATGGTAAAGTGCATGGGGGGATTAGTCACTTACACTGTATTCTGTAGGTTATATTTGTGGATAAGGCCAGTGGAGGTGTGTAGGACTTTTAGAAGCTTGGTTATTGTAAGAACCAGTAATTTAGGAAAGGGCCTCAATAAAAATTGTTCAGTAGCACATGTCCTGTTTAATTATACTCCTACTGTGTAAAATTTGGAGGTAATATATTTATATAGAATTAAAGGAATTTTAAAGTTCCTAAAGGATTAAAGAAAGGCTAGGTGAGTAGCATTTCTTTCGGTCTGTCTTCCGTTAACTTCCCTTTCTCATTTGTTTTGTTGGTTCTGTGTTTTCTCCTTGTTTTGTACAGATGTTCCATTGAGACTGTTTGCCAGATTGCTTTCTAAATTAGCCAGCTGGGGTTACTTTAAAAAAGAGTATGTAATTTTTTTCCTTCTCCATGCTAAAACAGACTTGTTCTGCGGAACAGTGAGCTTGTGGATAGTCACTGCAGACTAATCTTTCTTCATCACATACTGTCATATGGGGAAGAGGGAGGGTTTGCGCCAGGATGACAGTGACCTGAGCTAATTCATGCACTGTAGAAAAACGTCTGTTCCCTTCTATTAACAAATACAAAATGCCCTGTGAGGTTTAACTTCATAGTACTAATAATCGGTAAGCTTGTTATTCATTGTATATGTAGGAAGGAAGGTTTGAGTGATGAATAGTTTTCTTGTTCACAGTTAACTACATAAACATGATACTGTGTCACTCCAGTTAACCAGCCGGCCAGCAGCTGCTGCTTTGACAGTGGCACCAGGGGTGTCTTCTGGTAATTGCTCTCCATAATCTGGAATATTCTAATAGCCGTTTTTGAAGATTAAAAAACTTTACAATAGGGGCGCCTGGGTGGCTCATTCGGTTAAGCGTCTGCCTTCGGCTCGGGTCATGGTCCCAGGGTCCTGGGATCGAGACCTGTATCGGACTCCCTGCTCCGCGGGAAGCCTGCTTCTCCCTCTGCTGCTCCCCCTGCTTGTGCTCTCTCTCTCGCTGTCAAATAAATAAATAAAACAAAACTTTACAGTAGTATTTTTTATAAAATTATTGAAAAGAGAACTGCAGTAAACTGTAAAGAAGGTAACCTTGGTAGGTTGCTAGTCCCCCATTATTTCTAACTATTAAAAAATCGTTGTTTACGAGTCTTTGTTTCTATTTCCTGAAAATAGGTTCTAAGAAGGGACATTTTTAAGTTAAAGGGTGTGAACTCTTATAAACCTCTTGCTACATATTCATTTTTTTTCTAGAAAGTTTGTACCAGATTCTACAACATGTTCTTTCATGCTCCTACCAGTCTTGACATTTTGAAATGCCAAGAATAGTGGTTTTAATTCGAATTTTTAAGGTTTTAGTGAGTTTGTCCAATACATATTTTTTCTCTTTCAGAGTATTTTACTGATTTAGAAGAGCTTTTACTGTATATCAATTTTTTTTTAACCTTTTTTCATACATATTGCAAAGTGTCTTTCTGATTTGTCTTTTGGCAGTAGCCTGTGAATTGGTCTCCCTTGCTACAGGCTTAATTAGTTCTGTACAGTATATCAGGAAGACTGATGTGGCTGTAAACAGTGCTTTTATGTATTGTGGTAAAAGTTCTTAAGTGTCTTATGTAACCTAGAGTATCAAGTCTTAAACCATTGATTCTCAAATTTGAGTGTGAACAGAATCTCCTCAGAGGTATGTGTAAAATGCATATTACCAGATGTAGATTCAGTCAGTCTTACCTGGGGCCCAGGGATCTTCATTTTTTAATAATTTCATATTTTGATACTACTGATAAACAGACCACCCTTTGAGAAACGCTATCTTAAACTCTTCAGCCTGGCATGCAAGATTTGCATGATCTGTTCCCTGCTTATTTATTTGCCTCTGTTCGTTCCCCTATGTGGAAAATTGGTCTTGCTGTAATTGTCTACGTACTGTTTCCTGGGTAATATGTAGACAGGCCATCTCCCAGAACACTGTTGTGATCTGTTAATGTGAGATGGTAATAATGCCATTCTTCTGCCCTGGCATTTCTTCTGCTTTCTACTGTATCGAAATCTTGACTTCCCTTTAAGATGCAACTCTGCTTTTTTATGGAGTCTTCCCTGACCATTTTAAACAGTTTGAGCCCCCCCTCCCCCCCAATGATCCTAGCACTCATACAACCTTTCAACATTTCCTGCATTGTTGAGTTTTGTTTTTATGTTCGTAATCTCAGATTGTTCATTTGTTGGCAAGGATTTTGCCTTATATCTATTTTTTTTTTTTTTATCTTCCACAGGACCTGTGTGGAAATAAAAACGAATGCCCGTAGCCTCATTATTCTTGGCTATTTTGAAGGACCACAGTGAAATATTCACTGGACATTCAGTGAATATTTTTAGAACTTAAATCAGTCTCTTCATCTTGTCTACCCTGTCCATACATAGCCTTTATAATTCTGTAGACTTTGTTTATATAATTTCTAAGGCTTGGTGGTTACAGATTGAAGAGGTCCCTCATCTTTCTAGTTTATCCTCATGGCTTTACTTCACCTCATGTTTGTTAGTCTGTAGATCGTTTATGGATTATCTGCAGCTCTAATTTTATGCACTATTCCAGCTAAAGATTATTAGTATTAGTTTTTTCTGATAGGTTTTGGACTTTAATGGAAAGGACGCCCTACAGAATTACAAAGGATGCCCTTAAGAGTGAGGTAATTTCTAGCCTGATGTAGATTTGTTGCTGACAGTTCGAAGCCAAGTGATCAGATCCCTGACCCAGACCCACATTCTTACCCTAATATCCTGAGTCGTTTCTCCAGTGGTTAGAACCTAAGATTAAAACTGGGGAAAGGGGGTAAAGGGGGTTCTGCATTTCCCTAGCCTGGATTTGATGCCAGCCCTGTTGAGTAGGAGCTTAGAGATGCTTTCCTTGTATCTCTGCCTACACCAGCACACTGGGAAAAAGAACAACAGCATATTCTGGGCAAAGAATGAGGTTGGTGAGGGCAACTAGTCAACATCTGTCACTCCATTGCTTGTCAGGATTCTTGTAGCCGATTTGTCTGACTGGGCAGGTGTCCCCTCTCTCCCTCAGTGCTCCATGTGCATCCCTCTTGAAGCTTCGCACTCTGTTGAAGAGGACACCATCCCAGGTAGAGAGGGGGACGGGAAACTGGGCCAATTGAATCTGTGTCCTTTTCTTTCCATCAGATCTAGGCTACTTAACTGGGATCTGTGGACTTCCTGGGGTCCGGGACCTCTATGCAATTCCTTGCCGAGTTTTGTTTGTGCATTTGTGCATTTCTTAGGGGAGAGGGTCCATAGCTTTCATCAGATTTTTGAAGGGATCTGTAGATTCAGAAGTTAAGCACTATGGCACTAGATGGTAAGGTTTCCCATGTAGAATTTTTGAGTATTTTGCAAGTAGGAATGACAGGAAATCAGAACACAAAGGGAAATAGGGTGGTGCGGGTGGGTGTTTTGTAATCCTAGGCAAGCAATTACAAGATCCTTTTCTCATTTGTGGGGAATATATTTTAATGTCTTTGGCACATGAGGCAACCTTCAAAAGCGGTGTTGTCTATTTCTCAAAAAGGAAAACCAGGAAGCTGGGAATACGAAGAGGAGAGGAGATGGGATGGGTGATACGTGTAGTAGAATGGGCCCGTATGATAGGAGTTAGAATATGCTCTACAACCATGGCAAATCCTTTTCCTTCTTAGGGATCTTAATTTAGTGATGTGTAAAATGAAAGGGCTGGAATGCAATTAAGATTCCTTCTAGCTCCAGTATACCTTTCATGAAAGAATTCTGTGTGTGCCGGAGAGAACTAAAATTCTCTTACATTAAAAGAGAAAGGAATCCTGTTTGGCCTGCCTCTGATTGTGTGTGGCTCTGTGAGGAAAGCAGGCAAGCTTAGTTACAGATGCATGTATCCTAAGACTGATAAATTTCAGAAGAGCAGTTTTGTGAATTTTTGGTTTTAACTTTCTCTGAAAGGTAAAGGGACACTTAAGTAAACCCTGAACATAACATAATTGACTCAAGCTTTGTTCCTTGATGTGAGGTGTTTGATAGTCTATCTGATGGAGAGTGTGAACTCGCTTGTTGGTTAAAGCAAGATTATGTCTTAAGTTTATGAGATAAGTATAAATTCTAATCCATCAATTTGAGGTTTTTTCTTTTATTGAGTTAGCTGTTAAACCAGGAATTACTGAGAGATTGTTCTGTTTGAGCCACACTGCTGCAGAACGAAGAGAGTGATTTGAAATCCTTTACTGTGTTCACAGTCATTATTTAGAAGCAAGGTCCTTGAATGAGAGAGATTATCGGGACCGGAGATACGTTGATGAATACAGAAATGACTACTGTGAAGGCTATGTTCCTAGACATTATCACAGAGACGTTGAAAGCGGTTATCGAGTCCACTGCAGTAAATCTTCGGTCCGAAGCAGGAGAAGCAGTCCTAAAAGGAAGCGTAATAGACACTGTTCAAGTCATCAGTCACGTTCGGTATGATTGATTTTGTTTTTATCTTGGGTGGATGCTTATTTGTGTGTAAAAGCTCTTAAGGAGCCAGTAAGTTTGAAAAAGTTTATGTATACATATAATATTATTTGGATATATTATAATTGTTTATATTACTGAGTCCTTAAACATCCAGATTCTCATAGCTAATCTGTATTTATTAGGTAGCCTTCATTTGCCCACGTTTACTCATTTTCTGCACTGCAGATCATGAGTTCTTGATTTTAATATTAAAAATATTTTTAAGTTTTGTAATATAATTTTATGAAAAGATGAAGCACCCATCTTTTCTTTCATCTTAAACTTTTTTTTTTTTTAACACACTTTAAAAGAAGCCCTTTTCCTGATAGTTGGAAACAAATCTAGAATGTTGCACTGGTGGATACTTAATTGTTGATAGTCTCTACGTAGGGAAGTCCCAGAGCACAGTGCGTCATTGTCCATAGCTAGTTCCATCAAAATTCTGAAATGGGTGCTGAATGGAAAATGCATTAGCCAAAAGTGTGCCTTTTTTTACACTCAGACATCTTCACCTGTTTAATCAGTAAACTTTGAATAAATTGTTTTCTTCCCCAAGTTTTCTTCAGTAGAACTAGCTTTGATTAGATTGAACACTGAAATTAACTAGCTTTTATTTCCCCTTTTACTTTAATAATGTATACTTTAAAATATTGCTAAATAAGCAATTTCAACTAGTCTTGACATTTTAAAACCTTTTCCTGACAAACTAGACATTTCAATTCACAGCATATGCTATTTTATAGCAAGAGATTAGTAGATCATGACATTGCATTCTTTAAATTTCAGACTTCAATTAAATCAGTATTTTAAAGAGACAATTGTGTTGTTTTTTTTCTATTGCCACTTTAAGTATCTTATCTGAAAATCTGTTCCTTGCCATGTTTTTCTTCTGTAACATAAACTGTGCCCTGTGAATTTCTGGGGACTGAATTTGAAATTGCTCCTGCCAACTGTTCGTGGCCTGGTGCTTATCTGAATGCCTGAATATCTCCCCGCTGAATGAATTGCGTATTCTGCCCTGAATTCACTCTGATATATTGATTGGCTGGACGATCTTGGTGCTGCCCACTTGCCGTTCCAGAAGAGCCACCGAAGGAAAAGATCCAGGAGTATAGAGGATGATGAGGAGGGTCACCTGATCTGTCAAAGTGGAGACGTTCTAAGAGCAAGATGTATAGAATATTTTTCAACACTTTTTTAACTTTGCAGACAGAATAATCTTTTTAAGAATAGTTTGTCAGCGGGGGGCTAAAGAACTCTTCATTGCTTTTTTGTTTTGTTTTTTTGTGGGTTTGTTTGTTGTTCTTTTGTATTTCTTCTTTTCTATAGAATTTAAATATTTCTACTCTAAAGTTCCAAAATAATCAATGGAATTTGAGATTAGAGCAAGAAAGATAGCTCTATCTAATTGTTTTTATAGCAGCTGAAAATAAAATAATTTGAGTGCTGGAACCTTAGTTATGCTTTGGTAGAGATCATTTGAAAATATTCCACACTTAAGTATTCATTGTTTGAATAACTAGATAATTGGTACTCAGGTACTTACTCCTCTTTCTCCTCCCTTACTTTAGATGAAATCGTGGACACTTTGGGTGAAGGGGCCTTTGGCAAAGTTGTAGAGTGCATTGATCATGGCATGTAAGTTTTTTTTTCTTTTTTGAACATTCTGATATTTCTTGGGGGGAAGGATCCATCATTTAGATGAAATGGTATTTTAAGTAGGAGCCACGTGTTTTCCTGGGTGGTGTAAATATCCAAAATTTCTTGAGCTGTGTCTGGTTATTTACCAGAATGTGGATTTTGATCAAGAATGCTGACAAATTCAGGGGCGCCTGTCTGGCTCAGTCGGTGGAGCGTGCGACTCTTGATCTTTGGGTTGTGAATTTGAGCCCCAGGGCAGGTGTAGAGATTACTTAAAAATAAAATGTTAAAAAAAGAAACCTGACAAATTCCATCAGTTGGTGTTTGTTGAAATTAAAGTGGGTCTTCAAAAGAAGGGGTTTCCTAGAACTTAGGGCCTTGACCCTTAGGTGAGATTTAGAGTGCTTTCTTTAGTTTTGAATAGCAGAGACCAATAAAGCTTGTCTAATCTCGGTCAAAAACATGTATTCTCGATCTGAAGATTGCACAGTGGAAGAAATGGCCTAGCAAAAAGCAGTCTGCCCTGGAGTGTTGTTAAGGGAGTGGAAGGGAACATCTTCCATTTAAAAGGTTTTGGAACCTTTTAGGGGCTCCTGGGTGGCTCAGTTGGTTAAGCATCTGCCTTTGGCTCAGGTTGATGATCTCATGGTCCTGGGATCAAGCCCCCATTAGGGAGGCTCAGTGGGGAGTCTGCTTGCCCTCTGCCCCTCCCCCGCTCATGCTCATGACCTCGCCCCCCCCATAAATTAAAAAAAAATCTTAAAAAAATATATAAGATTTTGGAACCGTCCAGCTTTATTTTGGAATGATTCATAATTACAACTGGAAGTCTGCTATTAAGTACTAGATAGTACTAGAAGAATTACATTTTATCACAGTTGGGCTCTGTGTCATGTAGATCTTATACACTGTTTCTTCAGACTTGATGAAATCAAAGTTTGTATGGCAAAGAAACAAAAACAGAACAAAAACCTTTATTCCCAAATTTGTGTATTAGAGTTAGCTTCTTAAGTATAAAGAAATTCTATTATTTAAAGTCTGCAGAATAAAGTCCAGATTCTTTAATGAGTTATACGAAACCCTTTGTGATTTGGTGCTCTGTGTCTCATTTTAACATTTTCCTCCAGGATCTCTGTTCTGTAAATTGCAAACTTTTTTTGTAAATGAACCTCTTTAAAACAGTTTAGTTCAACTGCACATCTCTAAATTGATATCTAAAACTTTTCATCATAAAATAGTTGGGAAGGATGTGATTTTCACCTTATTTAAACAATATATTTTTAAACTTCTCTCTTTAAATATATTTGAGGGAATGTAAATACTGTAGCAACTTGATAAACCTAATGTTATCCATGAATCAGCTCTTCTTGAATGCTTAAACATGTTTTATTCTTGGTTATTTTCATTCCATTTTCCATAAAGTATATTATTCTAAGTATCTTATTATCACCCTGTCTTTTTCTGTAACAAAAATGTGAATGTTAAGTGAAATTTTGAAGTATATTGAAATACTTTCAGACTTCTAGAAAAGTTTCTAGAATAGCTGAAAAATCCTATATATCCTTTTCCCAGATTTTCCACGTGTTAGCATTTTACATTTTCTTTATCATTCTCTATATACCCACGTGTGTTATATTTTCAAATTTTGCCAGCTCAGATCTTACTCAGACTTCACCAGTTGTCCTATTAATATCCTTTAAAATTTCTTGAGATTCCGAAGTGAGTATTTGAGATATTCCAATTAATGGTATTCAGTTGATCAAGTACAGTTCTATTGCAAATTTTGATACTTATTGGACCTGCGTATAAAAGTTAATTGGAAATGTGTCTTTTATTGGGTTGGTTTGGACTTTTAAAAAAGGAGTACACATATTCATAAACATACTTCAAGTGCTTAACTTTAGAGGCTTCCTTTTTTTTTTTTTTTTAAGATGACATGTAACGTGTAAGTTGAAAGTGTACAATTCTTCACTGTAATATAATTACTCTAGTAGTTTTAGCTAACAGTTTTATTTTTCATTTGTAGAGCTAATAAGCACTGAGAAAACTTGGTCATACAGTAGATGAGACTAGAAGGAGTTTTGTCACAGTAGTTTCATAGCGACTCTTTGAAGAAGTCTTGAGATACATGTCAAGTGTCATAGGGAGATTATCATCAAAATAAGTTTTTAATGATTTATGAGCTCACAATTTCACTGGGGCTTTGTTGAAAACAGTGAATCGGAAACCACCAGACTTGGAAAAAAGGTTTGCTATCCAGCCACTAAAAAGCTTGGTTTGCCTCAACGATTTTTTTTAAGGCTAATTTATTTTGAGAGAGCGTGAGGGTAGGGGCAGAGGGAGAGAATCTCAAGCAGACTCTTGGCGCTGAGCACCGAGCGGGACATGGGGCTCGCTCTCATGACCCTGAGATCATGACCTGAGCAGAAATCATGAGTTGGCTGCTGAATGGACTCTGCCACCCAGGCGCCCCCTAGGGCACATATCTTAATATACTAATTAGGGGTGTATGAAGTTTTCTTATGTAAAGTGGAAGGACCACAGTAAAAAAAAAAAGGAGGCTCGAATGCTGGTTCGTCTTTAGGAAGATCAGATTTAGAAAAGAAGACAAAAAGAATTTGAAGGTTTAGAAATTCATTTCCTTCTAGATCATTCGTGGCTTGATACTTTCTAGGAAGTATTACAGATACCCAGATACCCCAGTCTAAAGCTTCTGCCCTACTCTAGCTGTTTTACCTACTTGCATCAGTGAATGTGCTAAACATTTTCTTGGCTTCATGGCGTCTCCTTTGTTTGAACATGTTCACTTTTCCTCCCAAATCTTACAGACTGGTAGCTGTTTTTCAGGGCTCAGTCATGTGTCACCTCTTCTCTGAATAAGTTTGAGCTTCCCTGACCCCCTAATTGTTAAGCTCTCCCATCTCTTTGCTGTGTAGTAGCTCATACGAAGCACTTCTAACCTTGTAAGTTGTTCATGTGTCTGTTTTTCCATTAGACCGTGAGGAACGGAGGGACAAACCTTGTCTTCTTCACTAACACCTTTGTGCCCTCTGGCACAGGGTGGTCTGTCCTGGTGAATGAGCATATGCTTTCAGCAGTAGCATGTTCTATTTGAGGTTTTATTTTTATCTTCTTTTTTTTTAACTTTTGTTTAAAATCTAGGTAAATTGTAAAGTTCTGGAAACATTAATATTTGTGAGTATTAAGGGAATTAATCGTTCTATAGAAAGTGTGTTTTGTCAGAATGCTTTGAAAAGATGTTATATGGAATCTGATAAAAGATGCCCTGAAAAGTCTTTTTAGACTTATTTTAGAAAAATAACAAGAGTAATTAATACTCAGTAAGATTATGCTTTAGAGGACACATGTCTTCAGCCTTCTCCTGTACATAAACCTTTTTCATCTTAATTTTGTTTTTAAGGGATGGCATACATGTAGCAGTGAAAATTGTAAAAAATGTAGGTCGATACCGTGAAGCAGCTCGTTCAGAAATCCAAGTATTGGAGCATTTAAATAGTACTGATCCCAATAGTGTCTTGTAAGTATAAACTTGAACTGTGCTTCATCATGTTGCCTAAAATAAGCAGAATTCTGTGAACTGACTTGTTTTTATTTTGATCTGTTTTAGCCGATGTGTCCAGATGCTAGAATGGTTTGATCATCATGGTCATGTTTGTATTGTGTTTGAACTACTGGGACTTAGTACCTATGATTTCATTAAAGAAAATAGCTTTCTACCATTTCAAATTGACCACATCAGGCAGATGGCGTATCAGATCTGCCAGTCTATAAATTGTAAGTATACTTGATAAATTTTAAACACCAGAAAATTAAAAGTGTTCGTTATACAAGCAACATGTCAAAACATTGTTACTAAAAGTACACGTTAGGTAAAGATGAAACTCCCGTACCCACTACTAATCCTCACTGTCCCCCAATACAGATGAAATAATGTAAAGGAAACTAATAATGCCTTTTTGTTCTCTTGTAGTTTTGCATCATAATAAATTAACCCATACAGATCTGAAGCCTGAAAATATTTTATTTGTGAAGTCTGACTATGTAGTCAAATATAATTCTAAAATGGTAAGTTACAGACTTAATTTTGGTGGTGGTTTTTAAAATTAATTTAGCTTGGTGATCTTGGATGAGGAATTTTCACTTCTGAGGCTGGTTATATCCTGATATTTAACCTAAAAAGGATAATCCTTCTTTACTTTTCTCATGGAGTTATGTTGAACATCAGAAAGATAATTCATGTGCAGCAAGCCTTTTGAAGTGCTATAAAGTATTTCATTTCTTTACTGATCTTTGTGTTGACTCAACTGTATTTTTCTAGAAACGTGATGAACGCACACTGAAAAACACAGATATCAAAGTTGTTGACTTTGGAAGTGCAACGTACGATGATGAACATCATAGTACTTTGGTATCTACACGGCATTACAGAGCTCCAGAGGTCATTCTGGGTCAGTAGACACCACCCTTCCTGATACTGTAATTAAAAAAGAGATTGTTTTTCCTCCACATCTTTTATTAGGGGATGGGGGGGCTGGATATGATTTTCTTAGCAGTGTACAGAAAATGTTACCTGCCTTAAGAAAAACTGTCTGGACATGGCTAAAAATAACTTTTCCTGAATGGGAAAAATGTGATACCATCTGTAAAGACATTTCAGATGTTTTTGTTTTTAGTTTTTATTTTATTTATGTATGCTTGTATGCTTGCTCCATGCCCAGCATGGAGCCCAGTGCAGGGCTTGAACTCACATACCTGAGATCAAGACCTGAATTGAAATCGAGAGACAGACGCTTAACTGACTGAGCCACCCAGGCGCCCCCAAGTGGTTATTTTTTAAACAAGTTAACTTTGCGAGATCATAAAAGGGCAGGTTCCGTTGACAAAGTCTGTCACAGCAATGTGAAGTGATGGGGCTACCCATTTTCACGTCACAAAAGCATGGTGCTGTAGAAATGCTAAAGGTCTGGTTGGCAGACATCTAGGTAAAGAGCAGATGGAGGTCAAGAAGAAGGAGGGGGGCCAGTCTAAAAGGAGAGCTTCTTCGAGAAGAAAATGAGAGAAAGATTAAAGAAGAAAATGACTTAAGGTACAGAGTTTTGAAATAAGAGGGAATTCAGTAAGGGAGCACGTGTCTTATGCCTCAAAAATGTCCCAGAGACCAGATCTTGTAATCAAGTGGGGAAGTGTCAGGAGGTTGGGGGTTCGGAGACTGTGGAAGGAAGTTTAGATCCAGGTGCTCTTTGTAGATGGTTACATGGAATAAGCTTATTAGCCAAAAGTATGGTCCAACTGAGGTTGAGTAGTAGACCATTTTAATAGAGTCAGTTTCTCCTTTTCACCTTTTTTTGCGCAACAGGAGTTGGTAGTTCAGAATAAGATTAGAAAAACATGATTTTTACCTAGAGTTGGGGGATTGGTAAAGGCATAAGGAAATTGAGAATATTAGGCAGTGCTGGCCAATAGAACTTTCCATGTTTCCATGGAAACTTTCGTTGTATATTTGCAGTGTCCAATATGGTGGCCGTTCACCACATGTGGACTACTGTGTACTTGCAGTGTCGGTAGTGTGACTGAGACACTGAATTTTAAGTTTTATATTAATTTAAATGTTGGATGTAAATAGCCTCATGTGGCCGGTGGCCACCGTGCTGGAAAGTAAGGTTTCGAGCTTGTCTTTGAAATGGATGATAATAGGATTCCTGCTTAGTGTGGTCTGAAAGGAGCTGTTGTGTTGCAGTAGTTTAGAAAGTGTATTCATGGTTGAGGACTAAAGGCTTCAATGAGGGCAAAAGAAAGGGGTATGGAAAGAGTCTGTGGACAGAGAAGTATTTTCGGGTCTTAAAAAGACATAACTTACTGTGTTGTCAATTTTAAGATGCAGATTTCCCGGGGGCGCCTGGGTGGCTCAGTCGTTAAGCGTCTGCCTTCGGCTCAGGGCGTGATCCCAGGGTTCTGGGATCGAGCCCCGCGTCGGGCTCCCTGCTCCGCGGGAAGCCTGCTTCTCCCTCTGCTGCTCCCCCTGCTTGTGCTCTCTCTCTCGCTGTCAAATAAATAAATAAAACAAAACTTTACAGTAGTATTTTTTATAAAATTATTGAAAAGAGAACTGCAGTAAACTGTAAAGAAGGTAACCTTGGTAGGTTGCTAGTCCCCCATTATTTCTAACTATTAAAAAATCGTTGTTTACGAGTCTTTGTTTCTATTTCCTGAAAATAGGTTCTAAGAAGGGACATTTTTAAGTTAAAGGGTGTGAACTCTTATAAACCTCTTGCTACATATTCATTTTTTTTCTAGAAAGTTTGTACCAGATTCTACAACATGTTCTTTCATGCTCCTACCAGTCTTGACATTTTGAAATGCCAAGAATAGTGGTTTTAATTCGAATTTTTAAGGTTTTAGTGAGTTTGTCCAATACATATTTTTTCTCTTTCAGAGTATTTTACTGATTTAGAAGAGCTTTTACTGTATATCAATTTTTTTTTAACCTTTTTTCATACATATTGCAAAGTGTCTTTCTGATTTGTCTTTTGGCAGTAGCCTGTGAATTGGTCTCCCTTGCTACAGGCTTAATTAGTTCTGTACAGTATATCAGGAAGACTGATGTGGCTGTAAACAGTGCTTTTATGTATTGTGGTAAAAGTTCTTAAGTGTCTTATGTAACCTAGAGTATCAAGTCTTAAACCATTGATTCTCAAATTTGAGTGTGAACAGAATCTCCTCAGAGGTATGTGTAAAATGCATATTACCAGATGTAGATTCAGTCAGTCTTACCTGGGGCCCAGGGATCTTCATTTTTTAATAATTTCATATTTTGATACTACTGATAAACAGACCACCCTTTGAGAAACGCTATCTTAAACTCTTCAGCCTGGCATGCAAGATTTGCATGATCTGTTCCCTGCTTATTTATTTGCCTCTGTTCGTTCCCCTATGTGGAAAATTGGTCTTGCTGTAATTGTCTACGTACTGTTTCCTGGGTAATATGTAGACAGGCCATCTCCCAGAACACTGTTGTGATCTGTTAATGTGAGATGGTAATAATGCCATTCTTCTGCCCTGGCATTTCTTCTGCTTTCTACTGTATCGAAATCTTGACTTCCCTTTAAGATGCAACTCTGCTTTTTTATGGAGTCTTCCCTGACCATTTTAAACAGTTTGAGCCCCCCCTCCCCCCCAATGATCCTAGCACTCATACAACCTTTCAACATTTCCTGCATTGTTGAGTTTTGTTTTTATGTTCGTAATCTCAGATTGTTCATTTGTTGGCAAGGATTTTGCCTTATATCTATTTTTTTTTTTTTTATCTTCCACAGGACCTGTGTGGAAATAAAAACGAATGCCCGTAGCCTCATTATTCTTGGCTATTTTGAAGGACCACAGTGAAATATTCACTGGACATTCAGTGAATATTTTTAGAACTTAAATCAGTCTCTTCATCTTGTCTACCCTGTCCATACATAGCCTTTATAATTCTGTAGACTTTGTTTATATAATTTCTAAGGCTTGGTGGTTACAGATTGAAGAGGTCCCTCATCTTTCTAGTTTATCCTCATGGCTTTACTTCACCTCATGTTTGTTAGTCTGTAGATCGTTTATGGATTATCTGCAGCTCTAATTTTATGCACTATTCCAGCTAAAGATTATTAGTATTAGTTTTTTCTGATAGGTTTTGGACTTTAATGGAAAGGACGCCCTACAGAATTACAAAGGATGCCCTTAAGAGTGAGGTAATTTCTAGCCTGATGTAGATTTGTTGCTGACAGTTCGAAGCCAAGTGATCAGATCCCTGACCCAGACCCACATTCTTACCCTAATATCCTGAGTCGTTTCTCCAGTGGTTAGAACCTAAGATTAAAACTGGGGAAAGGGGGTAAAGGGGGTTCTGCATTTCCCTAGCCTGGATTTGATGCCAGCCCTGTTGAGTAGGAGCTTAGAGATGCTTTCCTTGTATCTCTGCCTACACCAGCACACTGGGAAAAAGAACAACAGCATATTCTGGGCAAAGAATGAGGTTGGTGAGGGCAACTAGTCAACATCTGTCACTCCATTGCTTGTCAGGATTCTTGTAGCCGATTTGTCTGACTGGGCAGGTGTCCCCTCTCTCCCTCAGTGCTCCATGTGCATCCCTCTTGAAGCTTCGCACTCTGTTGAAGAGGACACCATCCCAGGTAGAGAGGGGGACGGGAAACTGGGCCAATTGAATCTGTGTCCTTTTCTTTCCATCAGATCTAGGCTACTTAACTGGGATCTGTGGACTTCCTGGGGTCCGGGACCTCTATGCAATTCCTTGCCGAGTTTTGTTTGTGCATTTGTGCATTTCTTAGGGGAGAGGGTCCATAGCTTTCATCAGATTTTTGAAGGGATCTGTAGATTCAGAAGTTAAGCACTATGGCACTAGATGGTAAGGTTTCCCATGTAGAATTTTTGAGTATTTTGCAAGTAGGAATGACAGGAAATCAGAACACAAAGGGAAATAGGGTGGTGCGGGTGGGTGTTTTGTAATCCTAGGCAAGCAATTACAAGATCCTTTTCTCATTTGTGGGGAATATATTTTAATGTCTTTGGCACATGAGGCAACCTTCAAAAGCGGTGTTGTCTATTTCTCAAAAAGGAAAACCAGGAAGCTGGGAATACGAAGAGGAGAGGAGATGGGATGGGTGATACGTGTAGTAGAATGGGCCCGTATGATAGGAGTTAGAATATGCTCTACAACCATGGCAAATCCTTTTCCTTCTTAGGGATCTTAATTTAGTGATGTGTAAAATGAAAGGGCTGGAATGCAATTAAGATTCCTTCTAGCTCCAGTATACCTTTCATGAAAGAATTCTGTGTGTGCCGGAGAGAACTAAAATTCTCTTACATTAAAAGAGAAAGGAATCCTGTTTGGCCTGCCTCTGATTGTGTGTGGCTCTGTGAGGAAAGCAGGCAAGCTTAGTTACAGATGCATGTATCCTAAGACTGATAAATTTCAGAAGAGCAGTTTTGTGAATTTTTGGTTTTAACTTTCTCTGAAAGGTAAAGGGACACTTAAGTAAACCCTGAACATAACATAATTGACTCAAGCTTTGTTCCTTGATGTGAGGTGTTTGATAGTCTATCTGATGGAGAGTGTGAACTCGCTTGTTGGTTAAAGCAAGATTATGTCTTAAGTTTATGAGATAAGTATAAATTCTAATCCATCAATTTGAGGTTTTTTCTTTTATTGAGTTAGCTGTTAAACCAGGAATTACTGAGAGATTGTTCTGTTTGAGCCACACTGCTGCAGAACGAAGAGAGTGATTTGAAATCCTTTACTGTGTTCACAGTCATTATTTAGAAGCAAGGTCCTTGAATGAGAGAGATTATCGGGACCGGAGATACGTTGATGAATACAGAAATGACTACTGTGAAGGCTATGTTCCTAGACATTATCACAGAGACGTTGAAAGCGGTTATCGAGTCCACTGCAGTAAATCTTCGGTCCGAAGCAGGAGAAGCAGTCCTAAAAGGAAGCGTAATAGACACTGTTCAAGTCATCAGTCACGTTCGGTATGATTGATTTTGTTTTTATCTTGGGTGGATGCTTATTTGTGTGTAAAAGCTCTTAAGGAGCCAGTAAGTTTGAAAAAGTTTATGTATACATATAATATTATTTGGATATATTATAATTGTTTATATTACTGAGTCCTTAAACATCCAGATTCTCATAGCTAATCTGTATTTATTAGGTAGCCTTCATTTGCCCACGTTTACTCATTTTCTGCACTGCAGATCATGAGTTCTTGATTTTAATATTAAAAATATTTTTAAGTTTTGTAATATAATTTTATGAAAAGATGAAGCACCCATCTTTTCTTTCATCTTAAACTTTTTTTTTTTTT